GCCACTTAAGGAATACACGCTTTCATAAATGGATGACACCACAGGTCTAGAGATTAAAAAATTTCTGGCGCTTCTATAGCCATGGGGACTTGTCTGTCAGATAGATGTATCGGAATACTGGACAGTAAATCCAGTAACAAGTATTCCATTCTTTCCCAGCGTCATGTCACGAGACAGGTTTATGCTCATACTAGCATTCCTTCACTTAAATGATAATGCGAATTATATGCCACGTGGATCCGAAGGCTTCAACCCACTCCAAACTTGGGTTCCTACTACAATAAAGAGTGTTCTAGGTTTGGTTCAGTGTATAAGCCTCATCAAGCACTTCAGGCTATCGATGAAAGCATGGTAGCATGGCGAGGAATTTATCCTTACGGTGTACGGTCCGATAAACCTGTGAAGTATGGTCTGAAAGCATACATGTTATGTGATGCCGATAATGCATTTTGTTTGAAGTTCAAACTATACACTGGAAGGTCCAATATCGGACCCCTTCGAAAAATGGTGCAGCAGTACTGACCTTGTCATGGATCTCCTTCGCAATCATTTTGAGAAAGGTCGTCCTTTATACAACAACTCTTACAGCTCCCTCAATTGTTTATGGATCTATGGGTCTTGGGAACAGGAGCTAACAGTCGTGCGTCCTTACAGGAAAGGCATTTCCAGAAAATGAAAAAGATACAGCTTACAAACCGAGAAAAAGGAAGCAGCAACTGCTGATTATGGTCCCTTAGTCCCTCAGAATATTGAGAGAAGTTCTTCAGACAATCTCCACCTTTATTAGCACTACTGAGTTCGACAAATATTAGAAACAGGTGACCATAACTTCATTCAAAATCAAATTAAAGTAAGGCCCTCTATGGTGCAAACCTATGACAAAAAGATGGGTGCAGTAGATCGACACAATCAAATGATTGGAAAATTACAAATTGCCGATCAAAACTTTGAAGTGGTGGAAGAAACTTTTCTTCATATTATGAATGTTGCGATTGTCAATTCATCAGTCTTGTACAAAGATCCTGCAAAGCTGTAACTCCAATGCTTCAGCGCAACTTTAGAAGGAAGCTGGTGGAACAACTTATCCAGACATCTGGAGCAACCAATGGGGTACATGTTGGACGGCCTGCTCCAGGATCCTCGAGCGATTAACAGGAAGGCACTTCCTTGCTGGTAAAGGAAGATGCTCCACAGCGAGTGCATTGTGTGTGGACCTGCTGAAAAGGAATGCTGCCACCAATGCGGCCTGGTGAGAAACGGCCCAGCAGGTGTGGTGGCATGACCAGCTACAAATGCAAGGAATGTAATGTTGCACTTTGCTTAACACCATGTTTTGAAATATATCATACAAAGCAGGAGTACATTTTAGTACAAAAACAAATAAAATTCGCTTCTGAAGATTGATTTGATTGACGATTTGAATGATAAATTGTAATGTGAAACTAATATGAGCAGAATTTTTGTGTTTCGATTATTATTTGTTGCAAAATTATGATTTATTAACCATGCAATGACAGTGAATTATTAACCATGCAATGACAGAAAAATATAGTTTTTCAACTTCTTGTTATTCAATATCTTTATAAAAAAAATTGTCAAAATTAAAAGCTTTCATAAAGCATAATGAAATAATTGTCATCCTGTACAAAAAATTACAGCTCATACCACTTTGAAAAGAACAATATATTATCTGACAATTTGATATATCGACATTGATGATTCTGAAATGCTGACTGTGTTGCATACCATGTTAATAAGCTTTAAAAAGCATTAAGATTATGAGACACAATTCATATTGAAAATTGATTTGGAATGAACATGTCTTAGCTAAGCATTAGATAATAATTGTACCACAGCTTACAAATATATCTGTTTTCAATTTTCCACCATTTAAAAGATTGATTTACAGTCACGGGTAAAATGTTTATTATTCTTTTTTTAATGGCAATATTTGCCAATGTTATCTAGTTTTCGCAAACTGAAAACCACCTGGTTTCATCTTTATCCAATGAATGTTCCATTCTTTTGTCAAGTTGCAGATTCATTTGAATGTATGCAAAAATGTCAAAAGCTGATGTTCTAGAGTTCATTATTTTTTTAATTTTAAAAATAAATTTTCTTCTCTTTAGAACTGACAGTGTAATATGTATCATTTCTAAAAATTCTGCAGAGGAGCTACAAACTAGGACTGATGCCACCTCCCACAAACTGACGCTAATTGTGTCTGTACCGTCACGCTTTTGCGTGTCCACTTCATAAAACTACGGAGGCGCATTACTTACCCTAGGATCCTATGTTACTGACAGGCTTCAATTTAAGGTCATTTAACCAAGATCATTAACAACAACATAGTATGGTTAGTCTGTGAACTTTGGAGGCACTAACTAGCACAAAGGTTGCTTAACCTCCAGATGTCTCATGACCCTGACCCATGGTTAGTTCGTTAAGGTCAAGGTCGCATTTTTTTAACATTGTTTTTATCCAAAAACTGGGTATCAGACCTTTTAGGACAGCCGAAGTTTTGTTTGTTTGTTCTGTTATGTAGTATTAGGGGATAAAATAGTTGGATTAACTAGAAAGTCTGCTATTGCAAGCAATAGCGTATGTGGCCTCGAACTGGACAAGACTCATTTTATTCACTAAAACGGATGCCCATTAGCTAACTTCAACAACCCATCAACTCGTATCAGTCCTTTCATTACTTTGATTTAAAAAACAAAGTTAAGAATTTTCACTTTTCCGCCTCTTCCCCCCATGGAAACTATTGACAATTTGCAATTTCTAAATCCAATGAGTACAATTACAGTTACTAATCATTGCATAAATAAAATTTCATGAAGTGTTCAAGGGACAAGAGAGAACACTCGAGGACAAAATTCGTCACTTTTTTTCAGGTTTCCATGGCAACAGTAGCATTTTGAAACTGAATGACCACACAACACAACTACAACCAGTGATCTGCCTTTGAGGAAATTTTCAGGAAGATTGTCCCAGCCATTTTCGAGAAACAGCCTGGAGAACAAAAACGTGTACAATCACAATATGTCGCCCGACTTCGTTCCAGGCGATATAATAAATAGATATGACCTTGAAGTTTAATGCATTTTTACCATTTTTGAAATGACCTTGACCATGAAATTTTCATGAAAATTTCTCAGGTTAGCAATATGCTCATTTTCATAACTTGGTACATTATTTTTAAGCTCAAATTACATAATTATTGAAAAACAAAGAAATAATCATGCTTTTCAGGATAATGACCTTTAAACAGTGGTTGCCATGGCAACATCCTATCACTAATTAATATACATGATAATATTTTGATAAAAAACTAAATGATATCTATGTGCTTGGAAAATTATATAATTGTAACTTAAAAAATTAACATTTTATATAAGTTTAAAGATTGTATGTGCATATTTCATCATTTCTTAAAAACAATTCAGCAGAGACAGTGCTTACTTATAAAAACAATACAGCAGAGTAAGGGTTAATTTTCCTACTAACAATGATCGGGAGACCCGGGATCGCGACTTGCGTCCGACGTATTATAATTAATTATTTTTAAAAAGCATTGGCCTATACGGTAAAAATGTTTAAGTATATGTTACATGTAAAATTATATTTTTTTTCTAAACTGAGCACCATGAAAATAACATGCATGTACATGTATCTATAGTCTAACTGTGCCTGCATAACAGGTTTTTCTGTATGCAATTCTCAAAAAAGATCTGACTAGACCATAAACCAAACAGACAAGTCAAAATCTATATGTAAAATTTCTTGACTTTCACATACTAAACATTTTAAATGTGAAATTGTTTTATTATATCAAATATTAAATGTATGATTTTTGTATTTAAATTCATAATTTATTCTTTTTTAAAATTTTAGTTCAAGATTCGTCGTATGTGATATTTTTCAAACATGCAAAATATATAGTTGTTAAATAAAATTCAAGATGATCAAAATGTTTTTTTTTTCATTTAACTTCAGTTTCTTCTCAGTTTATGGTCACCTCAGAGCAGTACAAATGTATTTCAATTTCCTATTTTGTTTTATGTGTGAAAATTTAATAATTTATGTTTAATAGAATATATTTTCTAAATTTGATGTTGGTTGACAGATTGACAGTATATAAATATTGCATGTAGTTCAGTGTAAGAGGCGCAGCTGAGGTTGACAATGGTTTTCAAGGGGTGAAAATTTTCAATGTTACACTCAACTATATGCAATATTTATTATATTATACCGAATGTTTTATACAGATACATATAACAGTGAACTGTGCACGCATAAATTCCGCAGTCACTATTTTTTGTAATACCACCCATCGTCAAGCAATGTTGACTGTTGCTACCCTGGAGGGCATGGCTTCATTATTCAGCGGGTAGTAGTGCTTTTTATCAAATGTTTCTCAACGAATCAGATTCAAGTAATTTACATGAAAGTATAATATTAATAAATATTGTAGTGAGGTCACACATGTTCCTAAGATCTTACAAAACATGCAAGAGAAATTCAGAATTCACAGTATTTACAGTATTTATCACTCATTCTTGAGTAAAGCAAGTTTGTATTTGACCTTGGCATTGGATCTTGAATCTTAATCAGTGTCTGATTGAAAAATATTAAAATGCTCCACACATGTTCCTTAGATCTTATAAACATGCATAAGAATTCACAGTATGTATAACACATTCTTGAGTAACCTTTTATTTGACCTTGACACATGATCTTAAAATTATCAGTGTTTAAATGAGAAAAAAAAACTTTATCAAGTGCACAATATTTTTATTCAAGGTGATTCCTCGACAATGTTTAACAATTGAATATTCCATTACCATGAGACAAAGTCATTAAAAGTATCCATGTACAGCATTTATGAATTTTAATTCAAAGATCACAGATACATGTACATGAACTTTGTTTAAATTTAAGTTTATCAATGTTTTATTCGACGCTCATATTGAAATTCAAATGTCAGAGTTATTGTCAGAGAGATGGTCATAAACTGAACAGTTCCACAAATGTCAACATTGCACAGAAAACATACACTGATCTCCTTATTAAAAGCACCATGATTTCAGTCTTAGGAATCTTTGACACTGGTTTGAACATCTTTCATCATTTACTCTAACAGCATATGGCATGAACTGCATTCTGCACAGCTGCAAATCTGCAGGGTTTCCTGAAAAAAAAATCACATAATTATAGGCATGTAGATTGTAAATTTTGTCATACTCATTTCATACACATTTAAAATGTTTTTGATTGTGATTATCTTTCACATTTTATGTACAATTGGCTTTAATTTCACCTTTTTCTCTCAAAAAAAAATGCATTTAGAAATCATGAAAATTAAAATCTTAAACTGCAACCTCAGTCATATAAAATTAAGAAAAAAATCTTATTTAAGATAATTTACTTGTACATTATCAATCATTTTATCTTGTCAACTTGCTAACAAGTATGAATACATTTGTTTTAACAGTGACTTTTCTCTATTTTCTCTTTGTATTTATATATTTAATGTTTTTTCTTGGTTTTCTTTTTTTTTGGTCTTGAAATTTGAACATGTAAAAGAAGAAGAAAATATCTATGTAACAGCAACATGATGACCAGAAAAATTCAACATTTCTTTCAGTTTAACTCTCAAGATTTTTGAAAGAAAATCACTTGTTCCGAGAAACTGCAGACATGTCACCTCAAAGCAGATAATGATGTTTATATATTTGAATGACCATTTAAAAATACATGATAAAAATAAAATCATACATACTATTTAGATTAAAATCCTTTATACTGTGATGTCGCATGATGACGCATGAGTGCAGGCAAATCCGTCACTGTAATGATGAATATTAAAAGATTAAATTATGTTTCATAACTCACAATACATCATACATACATGTACAATATGTAAGTGCACTGCTGAGTGATCTTATTAAACATTTCAGCAGTAGCATTAGAAATGATCATGATGATTCTACATTAATTTATTATAAGTTACACTGAATTGAAAGAATCAAGGAAATAATAAGATTAATAAACTGATTAAGGCATAATACATATGACTGTTCTAGTCTTAGAGGAGCACATTGATAGCTAATTGAATCATATGACAGATTAACGGGGGTATTTGTAAATATTTTATCCCCCCTTCTGTCTACACTACTTCCTTTTTCCGCACCTAATTTTTGTTTATATTAAATAGAATAAAATGTTTATATTTTAAGACACGAGAACATTGTTTTGAGGGATAAATAAGTATAAAAAATGCAAACATGTACAGTGTACAGTGTGTAGTATACTTACATGAACTCGCACATCACATCATCTATTCAAGTCCGCTGTTGACGGTTCCTGTGGAATTATCCAAACAAACAGAGCATATTTAACAGAAAACATGTTAGATCATTTTTACACAAGTAAGAATCGGTTAAATCATCCAAACAAGCTGAAGAAATACGGTCTTTCGATGGACTCTTCGTTGTTTACATTCCCAAATCTTCCGGTGATCGTTCACGGTTAGATCGTACGCCGTGTTACTCGAAGTTTATAATGTAAATCTGTGTTTTGAGAAAAACATGTTTTATTTTCTATTGAAATTTTATAAATATTTCTTTTGTAAACATTTTATATCGTATTTCGTTTTTGTTATTTATTCTGAAATATGAATGAACCTTTGCTCGAATCTGATTGGCTGTATAGGATACAGGATAGGATAGGATAGGATAGGATTGGATTAACTTCTATATGTTTCTATCGTGAATCCTCAATCCTGAATCCTATCCGATCCCATCCCATGTCAACTTGTGGGATAGCAGCACTGTAACCACAAGGTCCATAATTCCAGGACGTGTCTTATATGCTTTTAACATACATGTATTTGTATATTTTTTAGTTCGGTCATTGTTCGTTATCTTTTAAATTATCTTTAACGTAGTCGCCCGCTTCGCACAGTGGTTAGAGCGTCTGCGCTAGATTCGCAAAGTAAGGATTTGAGCCTTACGTGGGTTCGAATCCCATTGTGGGATGCAGAGACCGGTTGTTCAGATAGACCGTATAAACCGGGTATAGGACGAGAAAAAATTGCAGCTCTCCAACGGCAAGTGGTGGCGTCTCCATATGAGTAAAAAAATCTCTAGAGGTACGTTAGAAAACACACAAACACCCATTGAAATAAAAAAAATAATAAAATCCCATCGCATGCAAAAATCAATATTCATGATAAATTGATTTGCTGAAAAATCATCAAATCTTATCATAGCTCTGTTTCAAAATAACATGTAATTACATTTCCGTTAAATAAAATCTAGTTTTATAAGTAATTAATGAAGGATACATCTTATAATTTGTTTTACTGCGTTAATCCTCCCCTCCATCACCAATCTCATTAATGTTAGCGAACAGCTGTCTTGTGTACTGGAGACATCACGATCAGAGAAATGGTACTCTATCATAAACCAGTCACACATGGAGTTGTCTAATACCACATCTATGAAGAAGTCTTTGTCAACGTCACTCAACAGACATATTTCTGAGTAAGATTTCAATATCACATCTAATTTGTCAGTTGGTAATCCATACACAGTTCGGTCTGTGACATACAATCCTCTGTCACGTTTCATTAATCCTATATCCTTCAGCTTCTTTAGTGTCTTCCTGACATCAATTTCTCCCATAGAGACGTCCTCATCATCAGGCAGACCGATATAACTTCCACCAAAACGTAGGCAAAAGGTGTAGAGGAAGACGATACGCTGATTCTCTGTTAAATCTGATAGCGTATCTGTGAGAAACATGCAGCTTATTCCACTTATATTGAACTCGCTTATTTTGAAAATCCACTTATTTCTGAAATAAGAATAAATCCCCAGTTTTTGACTCTCATATTCTTTACATTAAAATAGCAGTTATATTGAAATCGGCTATATTGAAATATATCGCTTATATTGAAGCCACTGATAGGTCCCCACAGGTGATTATGAGTTGTTTTCATAATGGTTATATTGAAGTACTCCCTGGCGGCTGCCGTTACTGTTGGTGACAGAAATTATGCCTGACTGACCAGTTGATATAAAAAGGTGTGAATAATTAAGTTTTCATCTGATGTGTTTTTATACTGTATGCTCTTACAAACACTACTGAATTAAATATCCCCTTAGATTCCAAAAAATCCCCTGTTGTCCCCCTGTCAGTCCCTGACATTTTCCTGTCTCTCCCTGACTTTCTCCTATGATCCCCTGTCGTTGTCCCTGCTCTCCCTGTCCAGTTCCTGTCGTCCCCTGTCGTTGTCCCTGCCTTTCCTGTCTACTCCCTGTCGTCCCCTGACATTTTCTTATCTCCCTGTCCAGTCCCTGTCGTCCCCTGTCGTTGGCCCTGCCTTCCCTGTCTTCTCCCTGTCGTCCCCTGACATTTATTTTGGTCAAGAAAAGGAGTTTAAAAAATATATTTGTTGCATTTAAGAGTGAAAAATGATATAGTCTTGATAAGTTTAAGTATATTTTTTGAAAATACAGACTTAGTAAATAGTTAACACATTTTTAAATGCCTTAACTTAATCCCCTGTTAGTTAGTTTCTATCACTTGTATCAATGTGATTTTTTTTTGGTTCGGTAGCATTTCGGGTGGAGAACGGTAGAAATTTGCATCGATTCTAAAGAAGAAATAAATTACCAATTTATTGCATCTTGTGATGCTATACGGCATATACATTGTACTTTATGAACCTTTTATATATATTAATAAAATTTTTCATTTTCTATTTGGTCTACTTTGAAACATCTTTGAGCGTAATAACTGTCTTTGTAAAAGAACTTGATTTTAACAATTCGGAATACATTATCAAATTCATGCATGGGATATTTTGTTTTTCCCAAAGAATTAAAGGAATAAAAAATTAATTGAGGGAATGATCTATAAGTGCATTAATAAAACAAATTTTTATTTAATATATAAAAATTATTAAATAAAATAAAAATCTATTATATTCATATATTTTCTTATGCGAATAAATCTACAAATCGACTGAATTAAGAATAAATAAATAAATAAAGAAAGAAAGATAGATAGATATATATAAATAGATAAATAAATAAATAAATAAACAATGAGAATAATATAAAGTTATTCATTTATTTGCTTATTTCTTAATTTATCACTCATTTATTTCTCCAAAATTTGTTTTATTAGTTTTAATTTAATTATTTGCTGAAATATGCTACAAAGTATTTTATTAGCATATTTAAACGACTTTTTATTAATTTAAGTCCATGATGGATATCAAAATGATCGTCTCATTATGCACAATATTCATCTGTCAATCAGATTTTTGAAACTTTGCTTTGATTAAAAAATCGGGTTTCAAAACCCTAACACGGTTCTAAAACAACATCAAAGCCATTGATGTTGACCAGTTATTAACTCGGAGTACACAGTCATGACACCTATCATCTTTTTCACTGACCGCTATACCTTGTTTATGGTGTGGCAGGACGACCGTGTGTAGTTTCATCTGTTTGAAATAACATTTTCTCTTTGTATGAGAACTTTTCTTTTCCACCAAAACAAAATAAAAGTATCAAAGAAGCTATTGACGGGTTAAGATTGTGCATAATGAGACGATTATTTTGATATCCATCATGGAAGTAAAATAATTATAAGCAGATTAAATATGCTTCAAAAATACTTTGACACATATTTTTTCGTAAATAGTTTTACATAAAATAAGCAAAAAAAAAATCCCATTTTCGGGTATTTAATTATTTAATTTGTTTTTACCGTCAATTTTGAAAAGTAAAAAGATTATTTTTATAATAAATAAATACATGCAGTTAATAAGTTTATGTTTTTGTTTTTTTGTTTACTAACTATTTAAAATCAATTATTGTATTGATTAAAAAAACTTAATTTTCCAAAATGCACCAATACCCCCTGCTGTCTCTCCCTTATTTTTTTCTTTTTTTTATACAAATGGTACAAAGTCAAACGAGTATTTAACAAATAAGACAGATTGCAGCAAACTAAATTCATAGTAAATAAATAAAATGCAATAAATGAATAATTAAAAAAATATTAACGAAATATCAATATATTTATTTTTGAAATTGAAAATACAACAGATTAATGAATCATTTATATCTGCATGAAATTGTGTTTCTTTAGTTTTTTTTTATATAAACACTTGCAACCGTAGATGTGCTACAAAGTATTTTATTAGCGTATTAAAACGACTTTTAATTACTTTAAGTCCATGATGGATATCAAAATGATCGTCTCATCATGCACAATATTCATCCGTCAATTAGATTTTTGATAATTGATTTGATTTAAAAAAATCCGTTTTCAAAACCCTGAAACAACATCAAAGCCATTGATGTTGACCAGTAATTAACTCGGAGTACACAGTCATGAAAACTTTTTCACTGACCGCTATACCTTGTTTATGGTGTGGCAGGACGACCGTGTGTAGTTTGCAGCTGTTTGAAATAACATTTTCTCTTTGTATGAGAACTTTTTTTTCCACCAAAAAAAAAATAAAAGTATCAAAGAAGCTATTGACGGGTTAAGATTGTGCATAATGAGACGATTATTTTGATATCCATCATGGATATAAGCAGATTTAATATGTTTCAAAAATACTTTGACACATATTTTTCGTAAATAGTTTTACATAAAATAAGCCCAAAAAATCCCATTTTCGGGTGTTTGATTATTTAGTTTGTTTGTATCGTCAATTTTAAAAATAAAAAAAGATTCTTTTTATAATAAATAAATACATGCAGTTAATAAGTTTATTTTTTTTTTGTTTCCTCACTATTTACAATCATTTATTGTATTATTTTAAAAACTTAATTATTCCAAAATGCACAAATACCCCTTGCTGTCGCTAACTTTGTATTCAACGAATAAAACAGATTGCAGCAAAATAAACTCATAGTAAATAAATAAAATAAAATAAATGAATACAAATAAAAAACATTATTAATAAAATATCAATCTATTTGTTTTTGAAATTAAAAATACAACAGTTTAACGAATCACTTATTCTGCAAGAAATTGTATTTCTCTAGTTTTATTTCATATAAACACTTGCATCCGTACTCCGTAGTTGTGCTACAAAGTATTTTATTAGCGTATTAAAACGACTTTTTATTATTTTAAGTACACGATGGATATCAAAATAATCGTCTCATTATGCACAATATTAATCTATCAATTTGATTTTTGATACTTTGTTTTGATTGAAAAAATCGGTTTTCAAAACCCTAACACGATTCTGAAAGAACATCAAAGCCATTGATGTTTACCAGTAATTAACTCGGAGTACACAGTACACAGTTATGACACCTATTGTCCTTCTCGCTGACCGCTATACCTTGTTTATGGTGTGTTCAGAGTGACCATGTACAGTTTGCAACTGTTTGAAATAACATTTTCTCTTTGTGTGAGAACTTAATTTTTTTTTTAATCAAAACAAAATGAAAGTATCAAAGAAGCTATTGATCTGAGGGGTAAAGATTGTGCATAATGATACGATTATTTTGATATCCATCATTGAAGTAAAATAAT